CACGACCCTGAAAACCCAAATGACGATGTCACGGGGGCCAACAATTATGGCCAGAACTAATTCTATCTCTGCGTCAGATTGTAACTCATGCGTACGCGTAGTAATTGCACAACTGTTACAGTTCCCAGTACGAACTGTGGAACATGTTGTGGACAATCCATGGTGCCCCAAACTGGTGGAGCGGAGGGCCATTTAGCCCTTGCCGCCTTCAGCACGCGGCCTACCCATCAAGGGCGGCATCATGAATGAACGCGGAAACACTGGCACTTCTCAAATGCGTAAGAACGGCCGGCATGTGTCTACGACTCTTCAGAGATGGCCGTGAACACCGAGAACACAATGTAGATCAGCCACAAGGACACCATGGCGGCAGCCGAGGCCCACTTCACACTGAGGAGCAGGTGTTTTGGTTATCATCACGTGAGCGTGCAACTTCTCGAACAGGGTGCACCATTCTGCGGGTGATTCCTCATCAAATAATTGACAAGACTGCGTGCTCTCATCATAAGCCATACCATGTGAGGCTCTCGCAAGCCTGCCAAACGACCAACCCACCATGTGGCTGACCACTGCCTTCTCACAACCATCGGGGTCCCCTCCCCCCCTCGGTTCCCACCATCCTGTTAACGTGGTGTCGCCCAAATTTCTCCCCACTCGATCCGCCAGACGAGCACAACAAGCGTACGGGGTGCTTTATACGCTCTGCCAAAAGAGAATTACAATACCGAGCCGGCGCGTCCGCGTCTGGCCGACGGGCCCGAGGCCTGCGAACAACGCCCCTGGAGGACGTAACATCTGGAGGACCCCCGAATCATACCGTCCCACTTCCTCCTCACCCTCCTCCTCCTCCTCACTCCTCCTCCTCCTCCTCCTCCTCCTCCTCCTCCTCCTCTTCCTCATTCTCGTCGTCGTCCTCCTCCTCCTCCTCGAAGCCCCCAAATCCGCCAGCGCGCAGGGCGCCAACCCCACCGTCGCTGCTGGCGCAGAGCTTTTAAACCCTCGACTCCCGAGCCCGCCTGCCCCCAAAGATCCACGGACACGCCCGCCCCCGGCATCACCCGCTGCCCAGGTCGCCCTGCGCACTGCATCGGCTCCCTCCCACCCCCTTGCTTCTCCTCGCCTCCCCCCCCGCACTGCCTCGGCTCCCGCCGCAACTCCCTCCGCATCTCCTCGACTCCCTCCCTCCCCGCTCCTGCTTCCTCCTCCATTTCCCACTCTTCCTGGGGGATGAAGCAGCCGATGGGCGAGGGAATGCGAAGGAAGGTTGCGATGGACACGAGAATGCGAGAAAGGCCCCGAGTCCACCGCGGTTCCCTCGTCCATCGCCCACGTCTCCGTTTTGTTCTTCTCCTCCTCGTCCTCCTTCTCCTCCTCATCCTCCTCTTTCCTCGTCCATCCACCCTCCCTACACCTTCTCCTCTTCATCCTCCTCCTCCTCCTCCTTCTCCTCCTCCTCCCACTCCTCCTCTTCCTCCTCCTCCTCCTCCTCCTCCTCCTCCTCCTCCTCCTCCTCCTCCTCCCTGTTTCCATCCCCAATCATCCTCCTCCATCCTTCCCTCCCACTCCTCCCAACACATCCAATATCATGTTTTCTTCATAGCGTGGCTGCCCAGAAGCCTGGACCCGTCCGATGAACCGGGTCCTCAGAGCCCCAAAACCCAGCAAAGGCCCCCAAAGGCCAGAGCTTGTCAACAGTCTTCCGCCGTGATTTGTCCACGACTCGAGGATGGCAGGGCCCTGGGGAGGCACACATCAATCCCTGGTCCTGTTCCGGGCTGCGTCCTGGCGACTCGCTGGTGGTCATGCTGCCCAAGCCCCAGGGCGGCTTTCGGCCCATTGGGCTGCTGGGCTGGCTCCCGCGTCTGTGGAGTCGAGTTCGGCAGCCTGAGGCGCGGCGATGGGACGCGGAGATCGACCCAGGCGTCGCTGGAACATTCTGGGGCGGCCGCGGGCGTGCGGCCGAGGAGGCCGTCTGGTGGCAAGCGCTGCGGCCGGAAGCAGCACATGCACGAGGTGAGGGCGCAGCGGCGGCGCTCATCGACCTCTGGAAGGCGTACGAGCTCGTCGACCTGGCCATCATCCAGGAGCGCGGCATCCTCGCGGGCTACCCGAGGGGGATGCTCGGTATGGCCCTCATCTTGTACGCAGGCGAGCGGCGGTTCATGCTGGGCGGCAGCGTATCAGAGGCCTTCCTGCTGGACGCGGGCCTCATCGCAGGCTGCTCGCATGCGGGGCGGCTGCTCAAGTGCGGCCTGCTCGTGCTGGCCGACAAGCATGCGAGGCTTTGGCGGGCTTTGGAGCCGAGGGTCGCCCTCGCGATCATGTTCGACGACTGCTGTGTTGGCTGTCACGGCCCTATGGCGCAGGTGGCTGCATACGTGGCACAGGCCACCATGGCAGTGGTCGCTCAGCTGGAGGCGCTGGGCTGCAAGGTGTCCGAGGCGAAGAGCGAGCTGCTCGCGAGCTCGCCCGCGCTGGCCTCCATGGTCGCCAAGCAGATGGGCGGCATGGCCTTTCCCATCGCGGACTCGGTCAAGAACCTGGGGGTGGACTACTGCCTTGACGGCCAAGCCTTCGTGGTTCTGGAGAGGCGGCATACTAAGGCAGCAGCCCAGCTGCAACGGCTGCACGCCATACGTTCGCAGGTGGCTCCAGCAGCGGCGCGAGTGGCCAACACGGGGCTGCGGCCAGCTACTCGCTACGGCCTGAGCGTGGTCGGCTGGCCCTCTTCTCAACTCAACAAACGGAGGAGCCAGGTGAATGTCGTACATCACGGCAGGGGGCAAGGCAAGAGCCTCAGCCTCAATTTTCTTCTCAGCAAGCGGCTCGCCAGCGACCCGCTACTGGACCACGTGGCGCTCCCCATCCTGGCCTGGGCCAAGGCGGTGCAGTTCAACTCCGACCACAGGGACCTGAGGGCCATGGGCAGCGCCTTCGCGGGAGCCACCGCCATGCTCGCCAAGGAGGGTCCTGAGGCGCTGGCGGGGCGGGGGCCCGCGGCTGCGTGCGTGCTAGCCTGCCACCGCCTTGGTTGGACAGCCACGCGGCCAGGGCTCATCATCAACGATTTGCAGCAGCAGCTGGACCTGCGGGTCCTGGGCGCCTTAACTCTCAGCAAGCACATAGCCGCGGGCCGCGAGCGGCTACTTTGGCGGGCGGTGGGGCAGCACCCAGGCCTGGTTCACCTTGCGGGAGGGGGCGCGCTTTCCAGCATTCGGCGGATCCTCCACCGCAAGAGGATGAGCAAACAGGCGGCCAAGGAGATGAGCTCGGCCAAGAATGCGTTGGTGGGTTGCCTGTGGCCAGTTGCCAGAAGGTTCGCTGAGGACAGGCCGCTGGCATCTTCCCCGTGGTGTCCCAGGGGATGCCCAGCGCATGGCACGGTGCGGCACCTCGCATGGCAGCGCCCTGCGACCGAGCTCGGTCGCGCAGAATGGACGGCAAGCGAGGGCGCCAACGAGAGGCGGCCGCCCAACGACCTCCACTTCGGCACCATCGTCGCGATGGCCAGCCTCAGCGACGTCGAGGATCCGCTCTGGTCCCGAGCGCTGGCACCAGAGCACAGGCGCGCCCTCCCGCTGCCCACGCATTGCAGGGAGGCGCGGAAAGAGGGATGGCCAGACCTGGTGGGGCAGCCGCTCGCTGGCGACCTGTTCACGGATGGCAGCGTCCTGGACCCGTCCCTCGTGTCAGCTCGAGGCGGGTGGGCGGTGGTCGTCATGGGGCCCGACGCCGAGGCGGTCAGCCTCTTCGGACCGCTGCCCTGGCCATGCCCGCAGGAGTCGGGCGCAGCAGAACTCGCAGCGGCCATCGAGAGCATCCAGGGCTGCCTCCCACCCGTGCACATCTTCACCGACTGCCAGCAGCTCGTGGAGGGCTTCGCCGCAGGCAAGGCGTGGTGCCTGCAGTGGCAACGTCCCTACCGGGAGCTGTGGGTAAGGTTCTGGGACGCCACCGACGACGTCGGCATCGACAGCGCCTCCATCCAAAAGGTGATGGCCCACGCGACGCTCGCGGACGTGCAGGCGGAGCGCATCACGGAGTGGCAGCGCAGGGGCAATCACTGCGCAGATGCGCGAGCCGCGCAAGGGGCGCTGATGCACCCTAATGAAGAGGCTGTGCGCCATCGGAGCCGCCGCCAGGATCGGCTCGTGCAAAAGGTTTTCCGCTGGCTGGGGGCAGCGATGCAGGAGGGCGACGGCGAGCTGACTGCCGAGGACGGCTACGATGGGCCTGGTCTCGCAGCCGTACGTTGCGATGGGCAGGGTTGCAAGTTGCGGTGGTGCAGCCACTGCAATTTCCCAGATTGCCCACGCAGGACGTGCGGGCGACACGGCACGTGGCTCGAAGTCGGCACCGACACCCTCTGGGCATGCCAGGAGTGCTCTGGCCGAGGCGATGCGATCGCAGGCTCATGGGCGTCGGGTTCAGAGGGCGGCTCGGGCTCGGCAGCGGCTGGCGCGGCGCTGCTCACGGCTTGCGCGGCGGTGCTCTCCAGCCAGGTCAACGGCACGCAGGGGTCAGACGGCGGTGGCGCGGGACCTGCTGATGGTGGCGGCGGCGGGGCTGCTGGCAGCGGCGGCGCGGCGCGTGCGCCTCCCGCGCCTCTCGCCCCTCCACTGGCGAAGGCCGTGGCGATGCCGCCGCCGCAGCTGCCGCCGTGGTGGGGGTTCGATGCGCACGACTCCCACGACCTCTGGCGCGCTGTGAACCACCTCTTCTGCGTCACGTGCGGCTACTGGACCCAGAGTCGGAGGATGGCGGGCCTCGCGGTGGTGTGCCCGAAGGCCCCCAATAACGACAGGCAGAAGGCGGTGCTCAGCCGCCTCAAGCGAGGCCTGCAGCCAGCGGGCGCTGGAGGCATCGGCGACCCTGAACCCCTTCGGCGTATGCGGAGGCGCGTGGACGGCGGGTAGCCCAGCGGCCCTGTTGTATAGTGGCGCCTCAATTTCCTGCCCGCCCTTGGCGGGCGTCCGCTGTCTGCTCGGGCTAGCTCGGTGCCCTGTGCATGGCTGTCGCTCGGGCGGAAGCTGAACCAGGTGCGTAGGTTCGCCCACGCACGGGATCGGGCTCCGCGCCAAGGGGAGCAGCCTGTCCGCGTTGTGGCCTTGCGCCAGAGGACGTGCTGCGGCCCGTGGCGAGTCCTGCGCTACTGGCGTTCCCGTTTCATGTAGCTGCTGGCGTGCCTGGCGCGTCGGCCCGCGCAGAGGCAATTGCCCTGTCTGCTCGGGCGTGCTCGGTGCTATGCTGATGGCCGCTCGGGAGGAGGCCGGACCAGGTGCGCAGGTTCGCCCACGCACGGGATCGGGCTCCGCGCCAGGGGGGCAACCTGTCGCTTGGCCTCGCGCCATAGGACGTGTTGCGGCCCGTGGCGAGTCTGCGCCGGCGGC